CGCCTGCCCCGCCCCGCCCCGCCCCGCGGCCCCCAATTAGGACGGCTCGCTCCTCTCCTCAGGCGCTGCGCTCCGCTCCGCGCCGCCCGCGCCCTTTGTCCGCGCCGCCTCGTCCCGCCCCGACGGCCCGCGGGGCCGAGACCTGGACATGCCGCAAGCACCCAGAGCGCGGTACGCCACACGCACCTGGACAGGTGTACGCCACAGGCACCCGGGCGGTCAGGCCACACGCACCTGGACAGGTGTACGCCACAGGCACCCGGGGGGGTACGCCACACGCACCTGTGGGCGGACGCAGCGCGCACCTATAGGGCTACGCGACACGCACCTGAAGAGGTGTACGCCACAGGCACCCGTGTGGGGGTACGCCACACGCACCTGGACAGGTGTACGCCACAGGCACCCGTGTGGGGGTACGCAACAGGCACCTGTGGGCGGACGCAGCGCGCACCTATAGGGCTACGCGACACGCACCTGAAGAGGTGTACGCCACAGGCACCCGTGTGGGGGTACGCCACAGGCACCTGTGGGCGGACGCGGCGCGCACCTATAGGGCTACGCGACACGCACCTGAAGAGGTGTACGCCACAGGCACCCGTGTGGGGGTACGCCACAGGCACCTGTGGAAGTTTATACGCCACAGGCACCTATAGAGGCATGTGCGACAGGCACCTATGGGGGTACGCAAGAGGCACCTGTGGAAGTTTATACGCCACAGGCAGCCCTAGAGGGGTAGGCCACAGGCACCTAGAGCGGGGTATGAGACAGGTACCCGTAGAGGGGTACATGACAAGTGCCTATAGAGGTATATGGGACAAGCGCCCACAGAGGCATACGCAACAGGCACTTGTAGAGGCGCACGCAGCAGGCACCTATAGGGGGTATGCCGCTGGCACCCATACAGAGGTATGAGACAGGCATCCCCATAGAGGGGTACGTGACAGGCACCTATAGAGGCATATGGGACGGGCACCTGAGGGGTGTGTGCAACAGGCACCTTTGGAAGCATCTGCAACAGGCACCTATAGGGGCTATGCAACAGGCACCTGTAGAGGGGAATCCAACAGGCATCTATAGGGGAACATGACAGGCGCCCACGGAGGTATGCACACCCCGATCTGACAGCAACGCATGCCCTACACCTTGTGTACGTTGCCCAGCAAGCGAGGTGCGTGCAGGTGCTGAGTGCAAGCAGACAGGAAGGCGTTTGGGTGCCCTGCCCTGAAGACGCCTTCAGTCAGAGGAACTTCAGCAGATCCATTCCCTGGACATCCCTTGCCTCACAACCGCACACCTGAGGTGGAAGCCTGCTGTCAGCATACAGGTAACACCTGCTACTACTTATGGACGTGGCCAGCTGAGGAGCATTACTGCTGCAAAGGTTGCTGAGCATATAGCCCTCTGCAGCTCTTCCCGGGCCCCTTTACCCTTCCTGAGGAGGCTGCAATTAAGAGTGCACCCTATGTAGCTTGGTGTAAGGGAGCTGGAGAGGTCAGTTTGTTGCAATAGCCTTCAAATCAAGGTGTAGGCCCCAAGGTGTCAGAGCTACTGTAAGGCTTTCCCTCTAATACTGTGTTAGACACACAGCTCTCCTTGGGAAATGCCAGCTCCTACTTTGCACTCTTTTCTTGGCTAAGGGAAAAATAGCAGAGCAATTTTGTTTCTGCTGCAAAAAGCTCAGAAAACCCACAACAGGGCAGGATGCTCTTGACACCTGTTTGAAAACTTGTGAATCCTGAAGGCATTGGTACATCAACCAGCGTGGCACCCCTGGGCACTGCCACATGTCTCACAGCCCCCCTGGCTGAGACCCATCCTAGGGTGCAGGTGGGCAATAACCTGTCCGCTAACCACAGCCCATCAATGGCCTAATTCCCATCTGTGCCAGGTACTGGGAGAAGCAAGCCTAGATCTCCTCCTCCTTTTGCAAACACATTAGCCGTGGTGCATATGAATATCTTCCCCTTGATTTCTTTGGCCTCAGGAGGGAACTGATGACAGAAATACTATTGCAAACTCAGTGGTCTGCCTTCCCTCCTGCAATTGCAAACAAGACCCAAGTGCAGAATTAACTTGAAAGCTTTTCCTAGCG